GAGTTGAGTTGAGTTGAGTTGAGTTGAGTTGAGTTGAGTTGAGTTGAAGCGTTTTTCACACTAAATTTTAAATCCATTTGGGAAGGAAGGTTTTCTTATCTAATTTAACTTAATCTAACTATATTGTTCATATACATATTTATGCACTGCACAAACTAAGTTATTTGCAGTTTTTAAATGGAATTGAGATGGTTGACTTTTTTTTTTTTTGCTGGACATATTAAAAGGAGATTTTAACCACTTTACTTAACATTAACAATTCCTAGTTGCTTGCACTGCGGCGCTCATTAGTTTCCTAGCTACGGTATATGCAACAGCCTTGCGACTGGCAAACAATACATACATATGTGCATAATAAGTAGCACGCAATTCGACGCATGGGCGGGAATTCACGCACCGCCAACTTGCAACAATGCAAGCGTCTGTCATGATGCGCTAATGTGTGTCTGTACATGTGCATCGTGCACATGAATTAGATAATATACTTCTCGCTATTCTGTCTGCATTTGTCCTCTGAAATTGCACTTATTTGCTTGCTTTAAACCCCATCCTTACCACACGCGATGGCGCCAGACAAAAATAATAAAAGCTTGCCGCTAAAAAAAATGGAAATTACTAAACTACCAAACTGCAACCGCTTGCAAAGTTCTAAAAATTTTATTTATGCATGTAACTAGAAACAGAAATTCCCTGGTAGTAAAAAATATTTAACTCACGACAGCCGCAGACAGACAGAGCATGGCATCATGGATGATAACTGAGGAAACCGTGAGATTACCGCTTGCGTCGTCTAATATCCGGAATACCGACGAATGTGCGGAGTAAGCTGCTAAAAGCCCTGTTAGGGTAGTTTTCTTTGAAAAGTTTGTTAAGCTCTGGTATAGGGCTTCAGATCAATTTTATCTACATCTGAAATACACTAAAATTGACGTTGCAGAACACACAAGTAAGTACCATGGTGAAATAAAAATAAGGTGATGTCAGTTGGGGGGTGTTTGTTGTAATTTTGACAAATTCGGTAGCCCCGTTCTGAATGATGCTCTCTTGAACAACAACTACACTAGAAAAACTCCTTTTTGGTATTGTGCTGAAAACGTAAGAGTCAACATCACTGTCCTTGACATTTCTGTTTAGTTGTGACTTTTGCATTTAATATTTTTTGCAAAAATTGTGATTTTTGTGTATATTCAACAGATTTTAATTTTGCGATTTTTTGGAGGATTTCCGGACTTTGGCTACAAATTTAGGAAATCAATTTTAAGCATTTATGCCAAGTGGCAAATAAAGACTAATTATGTTTACCTTCCACAGATTTGTGAATTGTGTTTTTTATCTCAGCGAGAAGCTGCGATATAAGTGCGATTTTTGGCTGCAAGTTCCAGGTGAGTTTATTCAATTAGCCAGGCTGTTAATAAAATGGTCAGTAAAAGTGCGTTTCTTGTTTAATAGGTTTTGGAAGTTGTGCATGTTCAGCTACTAGAGGCTGCAATACAAGTGCTTTACAAATAAAATTACGAAAATCATTTTTTAAAATTCATAAATAATCGGTATTTTAAAAAGAAGAAAAAACTTACTAAAAGTAGTTTGTGTTTGTTTAAAAAATTATTCAGTAACTCGCCAGCAACTCTCTTCTGCGAATTCGCTCGCAAAGAAAAAATATCGAAAAAAGTATGTGAACGCAAATCCAGTAATAATTATCATGAACAGCTGATAAATTGGTTCCATTTTCGCAGCAAATTCCTAATAAAACAATACATTTTATATTTAAATAGGTTTATTTGGTCAATTTCAAATAATAAAAACCCAAATATAGTTTCCTTATTAGTTTAAATTGTATCCAGCAAGTTACAAGTAAAAATTAATCCATTAAAAATGCAGTAAAAACTTTGAACTTCAGCTGTTTCGCTCTCTCAATAAGTTTTTGCGTACGAAGTACCAAAACGCGAAAACATGAAAATTCGTACCAATTTTTCTGGATATTACTAGAAATGGCTAAACCTAACACAACTATTGTTTATTATCTTTAACGTTGTTTTGGTAAAATAATTCTTTAATACATACTTTTTAAAAATAGTATTCAAAAGGGCGTTAAAATTGTCCTAAAATGTTCCCCTTTTTTTACTACATTTATATACATTGCCGAAATGTGAGGTTATGTAACTGACATCCCCTTGTTTATTCCACCATGAGTAAGTACTGGATAAAAAAAAAAAATCCGCAGTCTAATAATAATTTTTGGGCACTCCTGGCAGGGTCGCGTGATATTAAATTAGTTAAATTGATTTATGAGTTGAAATATTTCAAATCAAAATAGAAACACATTTGATTTATTCACTATCAATATCTGACGCGCTGAAGTCTAAAAAAGTAACGGCACTTAAAAATTTGCTGTCAGGCAAGCCTGGCACAGCGTTAAATACTTCTTCAAATTTTATCAAAGCTTCTTCTCTTTAAATGACAAAATAATTTTAAAATAAGTTTTGAAATAAACAAAATAGAATAAAACAAATAACTCGACGCAATGCCTTTTGCGCTTTACGACTGCGTACGAACTCTATCATTTCCATGGTCAACAACCATCGTAAAATGTGAAGCCGAAACTCAAACTCACCAGCCCGTAGCGAATCTTAACTCACCATATCTTTCTTATCGTCAACTGGTTGCTGCTGCTGCCGTTGCACCCGGCGAGGAATCCTGCGAGTTCGGAAGCGCTAAATATTTTGCACTGTGTATGCTTGGTGGCCTGATCTCCTGCGGTAGTACACACACGCTTGTCACACCACTGGATCTGGTCAAATGTCGCCTGCAAGTCGATAAACCCAAGTATAAAAATCTGATTTATGGTCTGAAGTTAACCGTCAAAGAGGATGGTGTACGTGGCTTGGCAAAAGGTTGGGCGCCTACTCTCTTCGGTTACTCGGCGCAAGGCTCCTTCAAATTTGGCTTCTATGAATTTTTCAAAGTGTACTATTCCCAAATATTGGGCGACGAGAATGCTTACCTTTACCGTACTTATATCTACTTGTCCGCTTCGGCTTCAGCTGAGTTCTTTGCCGACATTGCATTGGCGCCTATGGAAGCGGTGAAGGTTAAAATGCAAACAACAACAGGTTTCGCCAATACAATGCGGCAAGCGATACCAAAGATGCGGGCCGACGAGGGTATAACGGCTTTCTACAAAGGGCTGGTGCCATTATGGATGCGTCAGATACCATATACAATGATGAAATTCGCTTGCTTTGAGTTGACTCTGGAACTGCTGTATAAACACGTGGTGCCAAAACCACGCGCCGAGTGCAGCAAAGGTGAACAATTGGTGGTGACGTTTGCTGCTGGATACATAGCTGGTGTCTTCTGTGCTATAGTTTCGCATCCCGCTGATGTGGTAGTCTCAAAATTGAACCAAGCAAAAGGTTCGTCAGCTTTAGATGTGGCAAAATCATTGGGATTCATGGGCATGTGGGGAGGTTTGGGTCCGCGTATCCTTATGATTGGCACACTGACCGCACTGCAATGGTTCATCTATGATGGTGTGAAAGTGGCGCTGCGTATACCACGTCCACCACCACCAGAAATGCCAGCCTCGCTGAAGGCCAAACTAGCACAAGGTGACAAGAAGTGAAGATGTAGATACATATATATGCATGTATGTATGTACTTACACATATGTTTTATAGTGCGTTAATTGGACTTTCTAATTAAAATAAATATAACTAAAATTTCATAAAAATTGAGCAGTTGAATTTTCATTCTATGTTTATTTCGCGATTTCATGCGGGTACAATTGAAAGAATCCGAGCAGTTGCCTGGAGGTAATGGCTTAGGAATAAACTTCAAAAAAGAGTACTCTTCACAAGAAAGTTCAATCGCTCGATTTTTTATGTATTTGTATATGCACCTGGCATGTTTCACTCAGCCTTAAAAGTATTTTTGTGTTGTTACTCCCTCCCAAAACTCTCGAGGCTTTATTCATCAAAAAACAAAAAGGATTTGAAGGGCTTTATGAAGTGAGATTTGGAAATAAATTTCGATTTACGTAAAATACTTTATTTTTTGGCAACGTTCCACAAGAATATATTCGACTGTAAGCCTTCTTAAACCAATTTCTTTTGACAGTCATATTGCAATGCTTACTTTATCATATCAATTTACTTAAACTGCAATCTTCAAACAGGTGGAAACTCTACAATTATGTTTTCCTATATTTTAAGCTAGACCTTGAGCATTGCATTGTTGGAAGCTGCATTCGATTTTTTGCCTTAGTTTTCGAGGGATGCGGGTACAAACAAACAGACAGACGGATAGACAGACAAAAATTCTTTTAACTGTTGATTTGCCTTCTGCTGCTCTAATAAAGGCCCCCATATCTATCACCTTTTCTCTAATGTACAGACATCGGCCTGTTACGATTTTTTTATACTAAATGTATAGATCTACAAATCAAAATATAGTTTTATATTAGAACAACGCTGTCTTCGGCTATGCCGAAGGCTTCATACCTTTCATGAACATCTGGAAATTTTACTTTGATAGATTACTGCTTTTGAATACATCTGCATACATCGATAGAGGAGTTACATACCTATATAAAAAATCCCATCTGAACAATCAGAGGTATGGAAGATATACCTTATTTTAGCACCAATCTAAGTGATTTTCACTGCTATGTGATCGGTATGTAAGCCGGTAACACAATTTATTGGGTTTAGTTTCCTACATACAGAAGATATTTCGCAAAAACTGGTATCTGAACAATCAGTGGTATAGGATATAAAGCTTATACAGCATAGATTTTGACGATTTTCTCAGTAGACTTTGTATTATTATTTATAAAATATCTTACGAAATTTATCGGTTTTAGCTGTTCAAATAAAGGAGTTTTACAGTAAAATCCCATATCTGAACAATCAGATGTATGGAAGATATATGTTGTAGTCACCCGATCCTTGTTATTTTCACTGTAATTATTCTGTTAATAATGAGTGAAAATGGTGCGAAATTTCATGTTCCTAGCTGCATAAATGGAGGAGTTATAACGAAAAATCTCATATCTGAACAATCAGTTGTATGGGAGCTATAGGTTATAGTTACGCCATCTTTTTAATTTTCACTGTAAGTATTCTGTTGATAATGGGTGTAAGTACTGAAAAATTTCGGGTTCTTAGCTGCATAAATGGAGAAGTTAAAACGAAAAATCTCATATCTGAACAATCAGTTGTATGGGAGCTATATGTTATAGTGGTCCGATTCTTCCGGTTCCGACAAATGATTAATACATTATAAAAATACACCCACCTACCAAATTTTATCCGGATATCTCGAAAACTGAGAGACTAGATTGCATACAAAGAGACTCTTTTTATTCTGGTACTTACAAACATCGGACCAAAGTTATAATACGATTTCATGCTAATGAAAGTTATAAAAAAGGCGGCCATTACGCGTGAGTGGTTAGGTATGCGTACTAGCACTCCGTAGGTCTTGAGTTCGATTCCTGGGCCGGGCCGCATTTAATTTAGAAATTTTTTTCTTTTAAGCGGTCGCATTTCGGCAGTGTATTTCCGAAACGAAAAAACTTCTTATAAAATCAATTTTCTGTTCGGAGGCGGCCTAATACTACAGCAAATCGGATATGGGAGCAAAGCGAATAGGTCTTGTGTGGCAGACTTTGGAAGGTTGAAGAGAAAGATTTTACGGGATATTTACGGGCCTTTTCGTGTCGGCGAAGGAGTATACCGCAGTCGATATGAAATTACGAGCAATGTGGGCTTGAGAATGATATAAACATATTGCAGCGAACTAAAATACAGCTGCTCGCGCTGGTAGTAGAAAAGGAGGACGACGACCAAATTCATTTCAATTAGCTTCAGTTGGCACAGAGGAGAAACGATCCACGAGATTTATCAAATTCGACCGAAATCACTTAGGTTGCATTCAAACAGATAGCCGAGTGGCCTAAGCGGCTAGTGTTCACACTGAACGAAGCGACGCGGAGCTTTTCTGATGGACTCGGCTGCAAAGATAGCACAAAAATTACCGTCAATGAAAAGCGCGAAAAATATTTGCTCAATTTTATTCAAAATATTATTTGTAAAATTCGTTTTTGTTTGAAATATGATATTTTGTCTGCAGCAGCATCATGAAGCTGAAGAATTAATAGAAAATTCAATATCAACAACTGCTTTGCTTTGAGCTCCAAAACGCTTCCGAAAAGGCTTGCCGTATGAACACTTTCATACAGAAATTCGAAAGCTTCACCCAGCTTTGGTGACCAGACGTCTTGTTTTATCAGGACATGTCCTGACTAATGGTCGAATTAAAGTGTCCTGACTGATTTTTCTTTTTCCGCCTAATGTCCTGATTTTTACAAAGCTCTCTTTTTATAAACATTTTACTGTGCAAGCATATCGTTTGCTCTTGATGCTACATCGTGCACATAATAATATAGTGACCTATAGATGTTAAAGCTGAAGCTCCATTGAAGGTGGTTCAGGTATTTCGGCTTGAGGCTAGTTCGCATTAGGGACGTCGAGGAAGCTGCAGTAAAATTTAAGCGAAAGTACTTGTTGAAAGTATTATTTAACTGATAAACGCTTGAAAAATCTAAAATTTCGAACTTTTTAATAACCATGAGCCACAAAGATGCGATTGCGGGTCTCGTCGTGGTGGGGGTCGGGTGGTTGTTCTCTTGCGATTGTCCTGATTTTTCTTTCGTATGATCTGGCCACCCTACACCCAGCTCCAAACAAGAATAAAAGAATTTAAATATTCTACGAAGACCCATTAAGTTCATTAATTCAGAGCGCATAGTTAAACCACTATTAAGTTATTCGGAAAACCAATTTAACTTTGATTTCTTATTCACAATTTACAACTTCGAAAACAAGGAGAATTTATACAAGGTGGTGTTGACAGAACAAAAACAAAAATTACAACAACAAATTATATGCACATTGACAATCAGTACAAAGCAAAATTACAACAAACACACCATTCTGACAAAAGGTACAAATTCGCCGTGAAATCAGCGGATCCGATAACACCACCTAGTATAAATTCGCCTTGTTTGAAAATATATTAATTTTTCTATACAAATGTGAATTTCATTCCACAAAAATTCCTTGGCCTACAAAAATCAACAAAATACGTAAGAAATTTATATTAAAATTTATATACACATATTTCAATAAAATAACTTGTAAAAATTTTACATGACTAATTACTTAAACTTGCTCCTTTGCTTGCCAGCAGGAATTTGTAAAGACTTCAATATTTCTCTGCAATTTTTCTAATCGAAACGAATGTCAAAACATAAACCCCAATTCGTATGCAGAATGCTTGCGGTGCAGCATTGCAATGATTGAAAGCTGCCAGGCACGGCTTGAAGCTATTAAATTCATACCATACACTCGTACGAAGCCAGCGAACAAGTGTTCATGAGTACTTGGAAGAGATTTGAAGTGCAGGAAGTGAGGCAAAGAAGACTATGACATACATATATATGTTCATACTAGGGATGTTGCGAATACTTGCATTTGCATTCGTTATGCGAATGATTCGCATCATTTAACACATTCGCATTCGCATCAAAGGACACGAATGTTTTGCGAATGCAAATGTGTACATGGGCAGAGAGTCCACTCTAATATTATTGAAATGGCTCTAACAGCCCAATTCTGTGCACTTGATATATAAAAAATTTGTATAATTTTTCGATTTTTTATTATTTATCAAGAATTAAGAAAATACTATTGACAAGCGTTTACAAATTGAAATTTCATATGATAATTATAAAATGTGTACATATATTAAAAACTTTTTTGTATGATTTAAATACTGCATGTGCGGACATTTGATCCTGGCACAAACAGATTTTATAGCCGACATCTCTACCTACTCGGCTACGGAAGTCCAAACTTTTTTTCTTTTAAATTCATATTTTTCATATGTGACAATGAAAACAGTTCCTCTAATTTGTTATGTAGTGCTTACAGGTAAAAAGATCAATGGAAATAAGGTCAATTGACTTTATTTCCCACCCTGAAATAAAGTCAACAAAAATTTGGCAATAAAGTCATTGACGTTATTTCCTCATTCAAATGGAAATAGCGTCAGCAATGCTTAAAGTATGTCGATTCATAGAATAAAATGTTGTTCTTACAATAAACATTGCCCCGTAAGTTTGTTTTCTAATAGATGAAACAGGTTATTGCCAAATCCTCAGTGTGGTGCTATTAATCCATACACAATCATGAACTATCACCAATTGAATTTAGTAAAAAATTTAAAATTACGAGTATAGTAAAAACACGATGCGAAAAACCAAACGCAAAACGCAGCGGGAATACGAGAAATATTTGAAGATAGAATGTATAAATGATCCAGAACTTGAAAAAAAAATGTTTCGTTTCCACAAAAATAAAGCGAACACTATTAAATTGAAGAAACAGTCCATGTTCAAAAACCCCGGAGGAACACTGAAAGAGTTCTGTGTTTTAAAATAGCATATTTTGAACGAATTCGGATTATCTAAGGTGGAAAGGAAAAGAAACCAACCTTTCTATAAGGAAAGAATTATAGAAAAGGAATTTTCTTACACTGTGTTCATATCACCGCCAGCAA